CTGGGGTTAAGGGCGAACCCGCCCCATAATCTACCACGAAACACGTGTGGGCGAGTTCAAAGGACATTCCTCGATCCACCTGACCCAGTTCAGTTATCACGACCGAGCCGCACAGTGTAATACATGTACATGACTCTCCATTTCGGGCGATCTACGTTGCTATCTCAAGAGCACAGTAGAAGCGGTAAAGACCGATGTTATAATAAATGCATTTAAGAGGACTGGGTCGTGGAGATAAAACTGACCTAGTTTGGCTACCACTACAACGGTGGGGACAGCCGCTCAGCTGTTCCCTGCAACACCCCCCCCCCCCTTTTACGTTTTTCAACGTAGGCTAGCAGTTTAAAATACCAATTGCGTAGTGTGCAGTGCAGTAAATGAACTATGCGACTGGAGTTTATGTCGGTAAATGATGATACCATAATAAAGACACCTTTTGTAAAGCCCTCTCCCCTCCACCAACATCATATATATTTTCTTTTATCCTCACTCTGTAAGAGAAGTCAAAGACATTTCTTTCCATCTCAGAATTACAGACACCAGACAGAAGATGTAATCAGAACACCAAGGACTCTTGGAGTCTCATTGTATGACAGCTAAAATCTATGACACTATTATTAATGCACATGTTCAATAGGTGTAATATATATCTCTGTTTGGTCAAAGCAAAGACTTACTCTCAGTATGGCGAGCAGTGGCGGGACGTAGTGAAGGGCTGAAGGGCTTGAGCCTCACCCACTCCCCAACTCTTTCCCTACGTAAATGCATGTTTCTTCTAATAAACGAGATAATCAGTTGAAACGGTAGAACTGTTTCAGAATCTTCCGCCTCCGCCTTTAGTTGCATGCGGTGAACACACACGTTTCACCGCTTACAACTATAGTAACCTAACTGCCAAATAGGGCTCAGCAAAGGATGAGTCCATTCCAACGGTCCTTTCTTAATGAAAATCTTCTTGAAAAAAGGTAAAAGAAACTTAAGCGAGAGCCTACGGAAACTGCTGTTAGACAGGGCTCGTTCTCTGCCAGCCCAAACAATGGGGGGGAAAGATCATGACACACTGTTCCCACAGACCCAGTAACCAAAACACGCTCATAAGCCCACGTTTTAGGAATGCTTTGCTTTCTGCAACCCCACGGCCTAATCCAGTTACTGTTGTATGTGTGCGTTTGCGTGTTTAATTTTCTTTTGTGCGTTTGGAAAGTGTTTTACGGCGCTCGCAACTGCATAAGGTCATATATGAGCGCGTTTGCGTGTGAGTGTGTGAATGAAATATACTCACACATATCTGGAATGTCCTCTGAACTAAGGAAATCTTACCTTTGAACTCAAGTTGAAACCTACTCTCATTTCTCAGCCCCACCCACGTTTAGAACCACCCACCGCCACTGATGGCGAGCTGGTAAGGCATCAACCATTCAGAGATGCTCCAGACTAACAAAGCTCTTTCCAAAACCTATAAAACTGAGTGAGGAATGATATGCAAAGCTTTAAAAGTACGGAAGATTTTTAAAAGACCAGGGATTCAAGCTGGATAAAAGCTCTGCAAGAACACAGTACAGTAAGAAAGAAATCAAATTCAGATCTCAGTATTTTTTACTTTGATGCCCCACATGTCAGTAAAATTTTGAAGTCTGACTGAAACAGTCTTCCTAAGACTGAAACTGAATGCAGCACCTAAAATCATAGATTGTGATTACACTTATAATAATATGGTCATAGTCCTCCTATCAGTACCTTGCACGCTATTACTCAAGAATCTAAGTCAATTTAATCAGAGGCAGCCCAAAACAAAAACACAAAACTATGTGTATCAAATCAATTACTGTTTGTCTTACTTATATACTCTATTGATGAGCAATCAAGAGTACTTCACCGTTTCAAAATCATTGGGACATTAAAGAAATTTAAAACAAGCTGAAGTAACTTGATTCACTGGCTGGGATGCATTACTGACACTGTCTTCAACTTTCAGGTATATGGCAGTGTGATAGGTAAAGGCAGAATTCATCAAAGGTTTTATAATAATAAATAGTTATTTTATAACAGAGTTGGGCACAGTTTGTGGTCAAAACGATATAAAACACCTTAACAAAAATATGCCCAGTAGCTTAAAAAAAAATCCTACATGTCCTTGGTCTACAAAGCATTTTAGAGAGAGCCAGAATGCACACAAAACCTTTACCAAGTGTTCCGCTAGCTGCACTTTCATTAAAAACATCATCTATGAAAAAATCTTACTTGGCACCCACCAGCATGAGTTGAAAGTGACGGAGATCACTCGCAGTACTTGGAGGGTTTATATGCATAGATATAAGATTCATGCATGATCTTACAGAAATTATAATTGAATCTTGATGCATCGTCAAAACAATTTAAAGTGAAGAAACCGATATTTTCCCGCCCATTTTGCAATTTTTATTATGAAGACTATTTTTTTGTATTAAGGCTCAACACCTTTTTGTGTCCACTTATTAAGACTAAAAACACATTCCGGCAATACTTCGAGGGGAGCGTTTTCTGGCTAATTATTTTACTTTAGACACCAGGTGACCTTCACCTCCTTCAATTGCAAAGATCTCCACATCTATTCAAGATTGATGGATATTTTTTTCATCATTGAAAGCAAGTCAAACAGACTTTAAAGATAACTGACAACTCCATAAATAAGCCCAAAATTGACAAGAGTTCGATTCCATTATGTTGTGACACATGATTATCATGATAGGATCTTTACTAAGAGAAGGAGATCGAAGTTGAGAAATTCCACCTGAAGAGGTTTCTTTTTTTAATCAAATCATAACAAACTGCAAAGGTTAACTTCGGTTAAAGTTTCTATCAGAATCCACACTTGGGCAGAGAACTAAACTTCTGAATCCAATGCCCATCCCACAGGACTGAGACTAGGCAGGTGGAGGGACTTGAAAACTCCCCAAACAACTCAAGTTCAAGAACACCCCACTGGAAATTCAAACTAGAGTCATCAGCAATGCAGCTAGCATGACACCAATTCTAGGCAAATGATTCGCCATAAAATTAAAAATGTTGATACTATTTATAGAAGAATAGAAAAGAGTTTACTGAGCAAAATGTGTCATGATGCAGTGGAGAATCAGATACTCGTCAATTTTTGGGCATGGAGCTATTAATCTTATATTTAATTTAAAGCCTTTTATTAGCTTGCTTTTGATGAAACAATTATAATCTATCTCTAGAATACAAGTCCAGCTACAGCCGAACCAGCACTGACGGCCACCTCTATAAGACGGCCACTTTCCATTTCCCCCCTTGCGTTTTTTCTATATAATTTAACTTTTAAAACGGGCACCTGTCCAACACGGCTGAGCCGCCATACTTTAAGACACAACCCCATAGATCACACTAACCAATAACACCTGTCTTAGATGGCCACCATAGTGACTCTATTACGTTTTGTCATAAATTGTGCATTGGCCCCAGGCGTTGTGGGCGAGCCGTCATAATCCAATCACCTGTCATTGTTGTAAGGTAGTCCCTCCAACCAATCGTGTTGCGTAGGCCCCTCCCACTGTTGACCAACTTCCAAAGTTTGAGAGACTGCAAATTTATATTTTTTGTGCCTTTGATCATGTTTTTCAGTAAAATCCACACATGCAGCATGGAAATGTATTTTTTCATGGAACTAAAAGGTGTTGAGCCCAAAAAAAGAAAAAGAATTTCAAAATGCCCAGTGGGTGGAAAAATGCATTCTTCTACGATTTCATTATTATAATTTTGACGAGCGCCTGATTTCACTACTTGCCTCACATTTTGAGTTTGATGCCTCACATTTTGAGTTTGATGCCTCACATTTTGAGTTTGATGCCTCATTAATTTGAGTTATTAAACTTCGCCTTCAACTTTTAAGTTCGCGACAGTAAAAATGGGTGTACGGAGAAATGACTTCCGAAGATTATTAATTATCTTTTCATACAGATCTATACTATAAGTAGAGTTGAATAGCAGCCTATTTAAAAATGGCCATCCATTATCGAGGAAAAAGTGGTGGTCTTAAACTACAGGTGGACAACTATTTAAAACATAAAGTCAATATATGTTTAAATTAAAAAATGAATCAATGCAGGGGGGAAATTGGTAGTGGCCCTTAGATCAGGTTCGACGGTGTAGCATCATGTCATCAAGTGGCTTTTCTCCGGCGTAGCGCCAGTCAATAGATCGATGGTTATTCTCCGGCGTCATGTAATAGTTGCACATCATGTCGCTTCTCAACAGTTTTCCACCTCCCCTATCGGCACGTTATGGCCTTGCACAAACACTCATCAGGGTCGGCATTTTTTCAGAATGCGATTGACCATAGAGGTGGACACACCGCCACAACAGTACTCTTGTCAAGTGAAATGAAAGCTCCAGTGACGGAAGAAAATTTCTGTGTCAGAGGTGACAGCACCAGAAACGCCAACAACTCTCAGTCACATCCAGAAGTACAGGAAGGCGCATCTGGCACTGAACTCAGCAGCAACAGTAATGGACATAACTTATAACGTGCCGAGGTGGAAAACTGTGGAGAAGCAACATGTGCAACTATACGTGACGCCGGAGAATAGCCATCGATCTATTGACCGAAGCGACGCCAGAGAATAGTCACTTGCATTAATATATATGGAATTAATAGATCTAATATTATTGACATTAATATCACTGGTTGAACACCAGAAGCCTGATGAAGGCTGGGGCTACTAAACCATAAAATGAAAATAAAACTAAGTAGAAAGTCTAATTCCTTGCCAGGCCTAAGGCAAGGTGTGCATTAAAATTTTTTTCTTGTGTCTGAGTTTGGAACAGAATTTTTTAAGGGGAAGAGGGGAGAATTATGCAGCTTGATGCAGAAAAGAGTGAATTAATGTGCGAGACCGATCGCATAGTTGGCTTCTATTAAGGTTAGGGGTTAGCGGTTACGATAATGAGGGGTCAGGGTCAACATTGATACACACACTAAACTCCCGTCTGCTTTACCCTTGGATTTTGTCGGCTTGTTGATTACCCACATTAGGCTACAAAAATAATGTGCACTAAGGAGAGACACTTGTTTACACTTACTTACCTTAGGGTCAATTTCATAGTAATGCTGCTGTGTTCTAATCCAGCGAGACACCAAATGATCACGGACAGTGTAAGCCAGGGAAAAGTAGTAGTCCCTCGGAGTTGCAACATTTCGGTCCTTCACAAGTGTGTAGTGAAGATGTCTGTTGAATGATTTCTTGATAGTTGCAACATTCTCAACAGGGGCGATTCCTCTGATACTAATTTGCCTACGCCTATCAGCATCTTGCTGTGGTTTGGCCATCTTGTAAAGGAAAAAATAGCTATTAGCTACCAACGGAGAGAAGAAGTTCCTGGCCGGCTGATCTCAATACCACCGCTTCACACTCAAGGCCAGTCAGCAGGCTGAAGGATTCTGAGTTGAGGGGGTTCAACTGTATCGTCACCTTGGCCTTCAAGGTCGGTCAGCAAGTCAAGCCTCACGGGTGTTCTTTAGTTGAATGAACGAATTCTTCGGGTGATAATTTTCTATCTTTTACATTTAATAGTAGTTTCAAATCTGAATTTCCTTGATAAAATTCAATATTTATATAAAATGATCATTACTAAAATATCTATTATTTTCTAGTTCTTAGATCAATGTTTTTACCGGACTGATGGATACAAATTCAAAAAAACAACCCTGGAAAACGTTCCAAGCACTAGTGAACGCACCAATGATTCTAAACAAGGGAAAGGTAACTCTGGTGAAAAATCCTCGAAACAACATGGCATCAACTCAGCCGACGTCTCACAAGTCGAAGATGAAACCGAAAAAGAATACGGAGAAAAAAGCTAAGCGCGTAAAAAAGAAAATGCTTGATTCTCAAGACGAAGAAGCAGTCCCTATAGACGATTTGATGGAACCGGTAAATTTATCAGAGGAGTCTCAAAATTACGAATTAATTGTTCTCTTCTACACTACTGTCTGTCCGGGGCGATGCTGTGATGATGGGGCCATGCCTGATGATGGCAATGGCCTGAATCCTGGCTAGAATCTAGATCTAGATCTAGATTTTAGATCTAGAAATCTAGATCTAAAGTCTAAATCATCATCCTGATAGATAATAGATCTAGGGGGTGCTCACTAGCAAGAGCTGATCGGGTCGGATAGTTTTCTGGTGGTTTCACTAAGACTAAGGCCACCTCTATTCTCACCCAGGATGAGAATAGTGCAGGCGAGTCTTTTGGCTATTCTCACCCGATGCGCGTTCAACGTTATAGCCTAGATCTAGGCCAAAAAATTTTGCGTTCACCCTAAACCACAGAATTCTACACTGTGATAACAGAAAAATTGTAGAATTCTGTGCCGTGAACAAACGTTCCATTACAACTGTAGCCTACTAAAAGTAAAAGCGTACAATTTTGTCTGTGGGCAGTGGAGAGAGAGAGGAGTAGCGCGAGAACTTCCGGTCAAAATAAAATGGCGACCCGCGTAGCTCGGCTCGATTCGAAAAGTTAAATAGCCGTAGCATCTTTGTAGGCAACCAAATTAATTTACTTTTGTGTTTTAATATCATTTTTTAACTTTGTTTTGGTCAATTTGATCGTCCACACCGATAGACAGTATTCAGAAAGAGACAGAGAGAGAGAGAGGGGGGAGGAGTAGATCTTGCGAGAACTTCCGGGCAAAACAAAATGGCGACCCGCGTAGTTCGGCTCGATTCGAACAGTGAAATAGCCATAGCATCTTGGAAGACGATCAAATTAGCTTACTTTTGTGCTATAACGTAATTTTTTCTTGGCTTTTATCAATTTGATCATCCACACCGATAGACAGTATTCCAAAATGAGTAAAAGCAGGTCTTGTTTCGCACCGGGTGAGAATAGCCTACGCTGGCAAGTCTCACCCAGGGTGAGAGGTAGATCGTTTTTCTATTCTCACCCCGGATGAGAATTGCCACTTCCTTCACTAATCTAGTAATGCCGTAAACAGTGCACACTACAACGTAACAACCCCACCGCAACGCAATTGTACCCGATGACCTGGAAGTAAAGTAAGCCTGGTTACAATAGTTACATTGACAACTTTCTATAGGCTAATCAAAGATCTTTCATAAGTCATTATAAGAAGATAGCTCTAGTTCACTCGGTCAAAAAGTGAACTGGTTCAGATGGTGCTGCAGTCCCTGGCCTTGTTGCAACTCTCTTTCGTTTCTTCAGAAGAAGTATAGGAAAAGCACAGTTTCTTAGTTTCGCTTTAGTTCTTCGTCGCACGAGTAGGGTAACTCTGTTTGCAAAGACTGCACTTTTTTTAAAGAGGGCACCACTGGATTTTGAGTGTAAACATTGACACGTGACTCAGCCTTGCCCTTGTGACTGGCTGCAAACCACCTGATCGCGCGCTTCGCAGGCCTTGCCTTAAAACAAACACATTTGTTTTTGTAGGTCACTGACTGAGTCAATCGGTTTGTGCCACGATAGCCACTTTGCGGCCTCCATTTAGCTAGCCCCAACTACCAGATCGACCCGATCCAATCGTGTATGTGGGCACCCCCAATAACCTGATGATTCCTCATCATTCTCATGTCCATGTATAACGTATTGTCTTTTTAAAGCAGATTGTCAGGCCTCAGCCACTCTCTCAACAGTGGTTGTATGTCCAGTATTATGTTGGCCACTTTGTCACTTCCAGGATAGCCTACATTTCATTTTTTTTGTCTGTCACAGTCATCTCCTTTTTTTTTAGAGACAGTGTAAGCTGCAGCCTTTCCAGTTTCCAATTCTCCTAGTCTGGTCCTACATACACTGAATTAGTCAATACAATTGACTTGTTTTATTGTTACTTTTTGGATCTTGTATAATAGCAGTAGAAACTCTCTTTTCAGGCCCTATTCAAGAGACTAATTTCACCTCATGGTTCACTCTATTGACTACCAGAGGTAGCTTTTTAAGTTTTTAAGACATGCGTACTTGTGTAGGGTAGGCTATATATAGGGGCCTATAAGAAATTCTATTTCAGACCACAGTTTTTAGTTTTAGAAATTTACAATTAGGCCTGCAGGCTATTTTTAAACTCTCTTCAAATTTGTAGACCCAAAGATTGGCCTGGGCCTAGGCCTACATTTTTTGTCAAGTTCTTTGGGGTGCACTGTAGCCTATGCCTGCCCAGAGCAGTTTCAGAATGGTTGGCATTTCATTAGTCATTAGGAGTCTGTAAAAAGTAGAAATATAACAGTCATATATAAGGTCAAGGTCTTTGATTTGTTGTGGCTTTTTGTGGATAGTACTGCTGTCCTCCCTCTTCATTGTAGAATGAAAAGTGTAGCTAGCTGGTTATAATGCTGGGCCTCACAGAATATCTTTTAAGAGGAATTGATAGATTCTGAGCAAGACCTAAGTGTACATTTTACTTTTTGCTTTCTCGTCTCTCTTATTATGGAGAGGCTTTCTTCTATCAAGTGTTGCCAAGTTCTTTTTTAATCAGCTGAGGGGCTCAACATTTATAAATCATTTTGAAACTTGCATATTTTTTTTTTCAGAAAGATAAAGTGCTGCTTCAGGGCATTGATGTTGGCAGTGAGGGAGATTCTGACATGGATGTAGTCCCGGATGGAGATGACATAGATTCTGCTGAGGTAACTCGGTTTGTAATGATACTCCTTCAGTCAAAGGAACACTCCTGTGTCTTCCTGCCTTCACTCAATGTTTTATTTTTTCTTTCTTTTTTGGGGGGGTAAGTGTTTTAAGGTGCACACAGCTGCATAAAAGGTCATACGAGTGCGCAGGACACATTTAACATTTTCAGTTTGGTAGGAATTTTGAATTTTGCCCGAGTGGCGGCTGAAGCTTACTCTTATCGATTTTAGGACTGCCAAGGGCAGCTTGCACACAGGACTTCCGACATTTTTCGCCCTTATCTAAAGTCTAGGTGTTGAATCTTACCTAACATAAGATCAGGGGTGTGGCTGAAAACCAGTACTAATAAGGAGTCAAGGATTGGCTGCAGAAAGAGTCAGTATCCCAGAGGAAGGGGCAAAGGAGGTGAGGGGAGGAGGGCAGAAAGTGGAGACAAAGGCCGATGGTCGAACATTGACAGAGAGCAGAAAAGGATGTGAAGGGAGAAATTTTTAAAGAAAAAAATTTCCGTCGCTCTCTGGATTCGAACCTGGGAATTATTGAAAGAGAGGCAAACGTAACCTCTTGACCACAAGAACCCCTACTCTTTGTTTGATATAATTGCCTTCAAGTTGTAAGGACAGGAGGGTTCCATTGGTTATAATTTTGTCCTGTCATTTTAAATAATTATGAAGAACTGTTGGTACAGTACTTGGTTGTAATGAAAATTCTTTGTTATTCCTTTTTGTTTTATATTAAGAAACATTGTCAACTGTAGAAAGTAAGAGAGTCAAGAGATAAGCAAGAAATATATCTATTTGTCTACTGTGCTGATACGGTTGTACATTATTTTCCAAGTTGATGTTTTATCTCTTCTTTTTTTGTGAATTAGTGTCTGTCAGCTGCATTTTTATATTTTTATTGTTTGTATCTCCCCCCCCCCCCCCCCCCCCCAATCCCAGATTTCAAGCTTTCTAGACAAACTTGGAGTGGTGAAACACCGACCGTTTCCTGCTGGCAGTGAGAAAGAGAAGAAAGGAGCAGCTGGATCAAGTAAAGCCAATGGAGAGACTGAAAAGCTTCCTAAGACTCCAAAGCAAAATGATGCTGCTAGCAACAAGAAGATTCCTACTTCAGAAAAAAATGGCATGAAGAGTCCAGTGGTTAAAAGCTCTGCCTCATCTTTGAAGTACTTACAAGCATACAAATCAAGAAAGTACTTGTTGCTGAAGACAGGAGAAATGTGGAGAGAAGAACAGGTCTGCAACTGTTTTTTCCTCCAAGTTTTTAGACTTACATTTAGTTGTGTGTTGGCAAACGATGAAGACCACTGATGACTGTTCAATGTTTCACATATTTGACTTTTAAAAACTGTGGCTCTGAATATTTATAGCCCAATGTTTTCTTTACCAAGTTTTACAGGCATAAAATTAGTGATGGTTTTAAGGGTGTTCTTCAATTTGAATGATTCATTCGAACGAAGGTTTTGTTTTGAAAGTACAGGTGTACTACTAGAAAGTACTGGTTAACCCTACCCGTACACCCTAGGATCATTTTGTACCCCCAGGGTTGTATTCTTCACATTTAGAATACTTCTAGTACAAAGATTTCTTTGAAACTTTCAGTATTTCCCCAAAAAATCATTTTGACAGACTGCTATACTAAGCATTCGGATTAACGAGCAAATTTCCTCTATGGGAAGTGGTGGCACCAAGTTCCCCGCATCATATGGGTACGATAGTAAAACATGACGTACAGATAGGATTAAAATCTCCATTGGTGTAATTTGATTCAGAGTATTGTTATCAATGTTTTGAGTTGAAAACTGTCCTTATTTAGTTTCTGTGTAAATTTAAACGTGCAGATTTATCTAAAGTTGAATTTTTCAGTTTTATTATTCAAGCTTTGCTTCTGTGTACTAAAATGATGTGCTACTTGGGAAAGTTTATTATAGAATCTAAATGAAGAAAAGTCAACTCATTCATTTACCCTGAAGTACCATTTCGTGGATTGACGTGTGATGTAATTGGAGTGTAAGGGATCAGGTTCCATCTTTTTCTTCTTGTGCTTAGCTCAGGAGTTGAATTTATGCTTCTTATTGTTGCTTTCACATTAATGAATTGTAGGTTTCCAAGTAACTGACTGATACGACTGTGCCGCTGAAATCGTAAGAGTTGGTTTCATTCTTTTTTTTTCTTTTTCTTGATTCTCCTTGTTTTTCTTCTCCTCTCACTCTTGTGTCTTTAGCAGGGACCAAGAACTTCATCCAGATTTGAAATTTCTAAATTTTTATCTTGTTGTGGCTTATAATAGGCCTACTTGTACTTTCACCAACAAGACACATCAGTTATCTATTCATGTATTTTTTTGTAAATTCGTTCTTTATCAGTGATATGTATTTAGTCTTCCTTTTCATTACTGCAGCCTTCCCAGGTTACAAGTCTTCCAGATGCAAAATTAGTCAGTGAGGCTGAAAAGTTAGCCCAAAGGCTACTGACTGATGAGATCTCCCTTTACACCAAACGTAAGTTCAGCTCATTCAAGGATACTCTTGATAAGTTTTTGAGACTGTTGGTTATGTGCCCTCAAAGTGGAAATGCAGGTCTTTTTCTTTTGATTCTAGTGCAACACTATCATGTGGGCATGTTCATTTTTATTGAATTTTTGTTTGACGGTTCATTTCCCCCACTGTTTGATCTCAGTTAGAAGCCCTCTTTAAGTTGTGCATCAAGGTCGGCAGGAGAGTTCAAATGTTCATCCACCAAATTGAATTGTATATCAAACCACAGGCATATTTTGAAAAGCTTTAGACATCTTTTCTTTACTCCTTCATAGACAGGAGTTGATACTTCTAACTTGCGTGACGTTTTTTTTAGTTTTGTGTTGCGTTAGTCGTTTGGTGAGAATATTGTTATTCTCTGACAAGGTGTTTTGTCTCCTTTTTTTGTCCAGAGCGAGAGAGTTCCAAGAGGTCCGAGGCCCACTGGCTGAAGACTGTCCTCTCATCTGGCACCCTCACCGACAAAATGGCGGCCCTGACTCTGCTGGTTCAGGAGTCGCCCTTGCACAATTTAGGCAGTGTGGACACTTTGGGCACTATGTCAGGGAAGAAGGGCAGGAGAGAGTCCATGATGGCTGTTGGTAAGTCTGTGCTGGCTACAGGGCTTATATTATGAGAGTATCAGTTAGGACTTTCCAGTGACCAACGTTCAGCACTTTTTAAGGACCCCCGAGAGAGTGTAAAGTTTCTCTATGCTGTCGGCATTGCTGGCCACTTATGACGCCACAGTGCCAGAAGAGAGAGAGAGAGAGAGTACCAGTACTTTTCTACAGAAGAAGAAAATAGATAGCATTTGTATAGCGCAATTCCCCGCTCAACAGCAAGCTCTATGCGCTTCACAATCTATACTATTACCCCTGAGAGCTAGTGGTTAGGCTACCGAACTCGTAATCGTGATATTGTGGGTTCAGGGGTTTGAGCCTCAGCTCGGTCCAACGTTGTGTCCTTGGGAAAGGCACTTTACACGAACTTCCCACTTGGCACGGTCCTATCGGAGACGGACGTTAAACTAGGAGGTCCTGCCCCTTAAATAACCTAATAGTGTTGATAGGGGCATTAAACCCATACCATTTTCACCCCTGAGAGCATTTTGAAACAACCTCAACTTTCTGGGAAGCATACAGTGCAAGCAGCCATTTATAGGCGCTAAAACACTAACATACTGACAAGATCTTTCGCTGTCTATGGTCGGGTGCCCATTCCCACCTGGGTGAAGTGAGGAAATTTCGTGTAAAGTGCCGTTCCCAAGAACACAATGTCGGGCCCACTGCTCAAACCCCCGAACCCAAAACCTCACGATTACGAGTCCAGTTGCTTAACCACTAGGCCACCAACACAAACTCTTGGTAAGTTTTTGAGACTGTTGGTTATGTTCCCTCAAAGTGAAAATGTGGGTCTTTTTCTATTGAACCTAGTGCAACACTGTCATGTGGGCACGTTCATTTTTATTGAATTTATTTTAGCAGTTCCATGTACTAGATAAACAAAATCTAATATTTTTTTTTCCTCAATGCACTATGGTTTGTGCTTTGGCAATTTTGTCTGAAAGATATCGCTTGTTTTCATTTTTGCTATGCTAAACAAAATAATGTTACTTACAGACTGCATACCTGCTAATTTTCATCTGGCAGAAGTCTTTAGTGATTTTGATATTTCTTGTAAAATGAAATAAAGCAGTGAAGTATGGTTGTGTTTTTTCAGTTTGTAATTCTTCATCTCTTTGCTGTTGATGTGAGAAATAAATTTTGCGATGTGCTTTTTCTTTAATAAGACTTGAGGTAGAATAGCTGAATAAGTAAGTTTTGTGAACTGTGGCCTCTGGGCAGCGTCTAAGAAGTTCTCTTTATGAAATGGAGTCTTGTCTGTTGTGAATCAGGTACAAGACAGAGCAATTTCGTTCTGTAGTATGTTTGACAAGCTTGTCAACTGTCCTGAATTTTCCTGGACTATTCTGAATTTAGCGATCCAGAATTTGAGAGCCATTTCGCATATATTGCAATACAACCTCTCCCAGTTGATGTTATTTTGTTCTTTGTTTTGTAATTCTGATATTATAACGATGGGTGTCTCTGATTGGGTTTTGCAAAGTTGGTAAGCCGTGCTCGATGAAATTGTGCAATCAGATATTTTGTATTTAAATGTTTTACTTCTTTTTCAGATACTTTCCATGAGCATGTTTTTAAATATTTGACTCCCTTTTCAGATACTTTACGTGATTTGTTTTTGACGGGCTTGTTGCCAGATGACAGGAAACTGAGGCCATTTGAACAGGTAATGTGGGCATGATAAGAAATAAATCCTTTTATTTTTTGGAAACAAGTTTTGTCAGTTAGAGTATGGGGGAGTGAAAAATATAAATTGCTTTGCCACGTATGCATGTCTGATCATGTGCGTTCAGATGTGTATCCAGAGGAAATACTAAGTTTTTTTGTTTTTTTAAGTTGGTCGTATGAAATAGTCATTTGCTTATTTTTCCATTGTGTCCCTTATTGTGTCAAAGTTCTGTTACTTTGAAGTAATCATATATTTTTTTTATCGTATGCCTTATTGTCTCAAAGTTAGGTTGCTTTGGTATGTTGTAGATTTCTTTGTGATCAACCCTCAGTCTGTTGTGTTTTCTGAGTTGTGCAAATCAAGTCTGCTAGATTGTGGTGGTTTGTCCTTCAATTTTTTATCAGACAGTCTTCTTTTTCTTCTTCTTTCTATTTCTATTCTCAATATTTATTCGTATGTGTGTTTTTGGAATAACCCGCTCTGTTCTTATGGCCCCTTGAACATAGACTACTTTTATAGAGACCCTCATACTGTGATCTGACAACCTGTGTTGGTAACATCATTTTAAAGAAATTCTGTCTGTGTGGGTTCCCAGAATCCATTGAGTGAACTGAGTGAAATCACCAGCAATAACATAGACCAGAGGGACAAACTGTTGCTCATGTGGCACTTTGAGGCTCTGCTAAAGAAGAAATACGCCCAGTTCATCAAAACTCTTGGGGTAAGTATTTACACTACTTGGTTGTGTGAGTGCTCTGAATAAATTTATTCATACAGTTTCTCTCAAAAAGTTCAGTTTTTGTGTATTAATCAAGTTTTGTTAAGAATGAACATTTTTAAAGCATGATTTTTATGAGGGAATAAGCGAAAACAATGTGGAATTTCCTACCAGGTTTCATTTCTGGTTGCAAAGTTAACACATCTTCAGATGACTTAGGGATGTTATTTACCTTTTCTGCTTTTAAGTTGTGTCTTTTATGAAGCTTTCATGAAAAAAAAACCCTGCATCAGTACTCACCCAGATAAGTACGGCAAATGTTCTTTTTTAAGTTTACACTCACAAAAGACAATTGTTTAAGACCTACCAATTTTAACCTTGCATCATGTGGAAGAGCATACAAAGTCTACTGTAGTAACAGCTGTAACTACTTTACCATCCCAGTATAAACAGCCTCCTTTGTGCCTGAAATCATATTTTGGGACATCTCCCTCTGTCTTAGTGTTTGTAGCTTAAAAGTATGATTTTTGATTCTGAGTAAAGTTTATTAAAAAAGATTCTGCATTGATGATGATAATGAGAATAATTTGGTTGTACTATTCTTTTTGCAGGACTTGTCTTTTGATACATTACAAGCCACAAAAGAAAAAGCAGTAGGTAAGATCTGAGGACTTTGCTTAAATATCTTTGGAGCTTGTCTGTGGAATAGGACAGTTTGTGATCTCTAGCATTAAACTCACATATTTCCTCGACATAAGAATTTTTATGAAAATTGTTGTTCCGAGAATGATTGAAGTTTTACTTTGCGAAATTATGTTTTGCTGTCTTTTACAGTAGTGTTGACAACTTTGTCTTGACACATAATTCATTAAGGCATGTAATGTTAGAACTACTTATCATTTTTAGTTGTTTATAATTTTATAATTTTAAACAACAGATTATATATATTATTGTTTTGCACATGTCACACTTAATATATGTATATATGCTATTCTTCATGTCTTGTCTTTATGGCAAGAGTGTTAACATGTTTATGGTACTGGAAGCTGTGATAGAGCTTCTACTTTAATTTTGTGCTTAGAACTTTACCTAAAAAATTCAGACAATGCCTTTTTACTACAGATTTGTTTTAGGAGCATTTGTAAATTCTTATTACCATTGGTCTCTTCCAGCTACAATTCATGTGTTACTGTCCAGCAAACCAGAGCAAGAAAATGTGAGTCGCAACATGCAACTTTGTTTATTGTTTATTTTATGGAAAAAAAACGACTCTGAAATTTAAATCTTTGTTCAAAATCATGGTGTCGCTTATATAAACACTTATGCCATCGAAAGAATAAACAGATGAAATCTGTATTTGAATTTGCTCATGCTGGTACCCATTGCAGAAGTGTTGATTATTACTGAATAAAGAAACGAGATAACAGTTTTTCCTGTAGAGCAAGTATAACCTCAAGTCAAATAAAATGTATAAGACATGATCACCTTAGCCGGAACACAAGGCACTGCACCCTGGCAACCAGCAATTTTATGCTTGTGAAATCTGTATTGATGTGGTATTGTACTGTGTATGATGTGATCTAGATGAATTACTGTATACATGCATTGCACTTGCCAAATTGCTAACCAAATTTGCCCATATTGGGGATTCATTGAAAGTTTTATTTTATTTGTAAATGTATTTTTTTTAAATTAGAGAACATTTTAAATCAAGTGCTGCATTCCACTGATGAGATACTACCATTTGGCCACATGTGTTTAGTTTTTTTTGGTTTTTTTTATTTGTTTTGCTTATATACGCTGTTAGATGAAACAGCTGACTTGAATATTGGGTTTCAGTGAGTAGCGTTATACGTCATCAGTTTTGACCAGAAATAGTCCTTGCAGCATTTCTTAGTAACACCTGTGACGAGTGAGACTGATAAGTAGGTATTAGTAACACCTGTGACGAGTGAGACTGATAAGTAGGTGTAACTCTGAACATAAATGATTAATATCTATTGTAATTCAAGTGTAATATATAATTGGCTTAATTGATAAGATTGATCTTTTTTATGGACAACTGTCTAAGTTTGTTTTTTTGTCTGGACATTTGTTACATTGTTTGTATCCCATCCCCGCTCTGTAAGAAATATATATCTGGGGGAAAGCCCTGCCTCTGGGGTGATTTTGTTTGTTTGTTAAAAGATGTAAAGCTTCAACTTGTATGATTTGTTAATGGATGACTGCTTAGTGGTTACACTTCCTTATGTTGGAATGCACTCACTGGGAAAATAGAAGGCAAAAGTGGCAGAGGTAGACCTGAATCAGTTACTTACTGAACTTGAATAGATGATTGACGAGAAAAGACCAGGATTATATATATAGTTCCGGTTTTTTTAGACTATTCAAGTGTAGAGAAATTGGGATAATAAAGTTTATTTGATGAACTTTCTGTCTTTCAGGTCCTACTACCAATGTTGGTAAACAAACTAGGAGATCCTGCTATCAAGTCCAAGACGATGTATCTGCTGACAAAATTGGGTATGTCTTAGTCTTTTAGAAGTAGATGTAGGATTAGCATATCGGGTGAATTCCTGCTTTCAGTTCCTGTGGTTCTTTGGTGCGCTGTACCAAGACCTCTCTTCTTTTCCAATTTTTTTGTTGTTGCTTTAAATGTTTTGGTTTCAGTGCCATCCTTTCACGACATTTTGTGATTATTCTGGCACCACTATGTGGAAATCCCCAGCTTTGCCATTTTCTGCTTTTTAAAAATGTGATCACCCTCTTTCTTTGGGTTTTTAGTTCTCCTTTATTGTAATGTTTAAAAAAAGAGTTCTTATAACATTAGACCCCCCAGAGTCCTTAATCTTTTTGCATAAGAAAAGAGACCAGTATCATCTGGCTACTGTTAATGATGTGGCTTTAGCACTGGAGAATGAAGCCATGAAATGATCCACAAAAGTGTATATACTATACACCTTTACATATGTTTATTTTTTACTCCATAGAGATATTATTACATTGAGAAATTCAAAGCCAAATGTAAAAAGCAGTTGTTGTTTTTTTTTGTTGTTTTGTACTATTATAGAATTCCTTTTTCTTGAGCTAAGTTTCCTTTTGACTTATTACTAAATGATTTTTCCCCACTTTTCTCTCAACCCAAAGTGAGTTTGGCTCCTTTCTCTACTGATGTTTGTTATTTTTCTCTCTCCTTTCAGTGGAGGAACACCCAAACATGATACAGGTCATTGTGCGTGAGGTGAAGCAACTGCTACACAGAGCCAATGTCTCCTCGCGAGCACAGTGAGTAGTCATGATAATATTGATACATTCAAACCTGCTCTTATAACCATCCGTATAAGACAATCACCTGTACAAACAGCCACTTTACATTTCTTTCCTTGCATATTTTGTACATTGCATGTACAGTGCCGCAGTGTAAGATGGCCACCTGTCTAAGACAATCACCTGTACAAACGGTCACGTTGCATTTCTCTCCTTTTGTATTTTGTACATTACAATAGCACCGTGTATATTGTAATTTATATTTTTGTTTGTCCTCATTTCGATTTGTCTTATTACTATATTGTAACCTCAGTGCTTTCTTGTCATATCTCAATTTCCTTTAATCAGTGAAAATGTGACTCTTCTTAAGCTCTCTTTGATATGAACTACTGTTTTCACTGTTACTAAAAATGGAGATATGACAAGAAAGCACAGAGGTCGCGATATGCTGCCTTAAATTAGATGTGCTAATGAATATAATACAACTATTTTAATGCTACTGCTTGGTATTTTGTTGACAACTTGCATGGGTCCTCCCCAGGTACTACGCCATCTGCTTCCTGAGTCAACTGAGGCTGAATCAGAGCCGATCTGCCTTGGCCTCGGAACTCATCAGCATCTATTTCTACTTTTTCCAGGTGAAATGAAATGATTTGTGTTGTCGTATTTGTCTTTGCTCTGTCTCTTTGTATCAAATTTTCTGTCTTTGTGTTCTCATGTTATTGCTCAACTTGTCTTTGATGATTTGTAAACATTTAGGCGACAGTTTGAGAGTGTGAATTTTTAATGTATTTTATATATGTAGATGTTTAAATTGCAAAATTGTGTGTCTCCCTGACTTACACAAGGCCAGTCAGTAACTTAGTGTAATATGCCCAAAAACTAGAATTGCATTTACTTTGGATGACTGGAAAGCTATTTTTGTATTGCAGCTATTTTATAAATTTATAACCAGATTTAATGAAGGCATGTGTTTTATAGGAGATAGAATTTGATAGACAAGCTTTTTTTTGTCTCACATAATATGAATTAAGAACAGAAACCATAGAAACCAGTCATGCTTGTCCCACAATGACAGCTCATCCTTTCTTTATCTATAGATGTACCTTCAGAAAGGTGAGGTGGACAACAAAATGATGAGTGCCCTGCTGACTGGAGTGAATCGAGCTTATGTCTTTGCCAAAGGTAAAAACTTCCTTATTCTTTTCGCTGAAGCAAATGCAGAAACACTTCTTGGAAGCTTTGTTCTTTTCTTTGGTTACTGACTTCCTTTTTTTGGGGGGTCTTGTCTTAAGCATACCTGCCGTCATTTAAACATCTGGTTGTTGCTTCTCAAGCTCACTTATTGTCAACCTCTCCATTTTATAATAGGGAGCAAGTCCTAACCTTGCTTTTTGCTGTGTCCTGTTAAACTTCAAGAGTAACATCAAACTTCTGGACTGACCTCAGTGACCTTAATATCTTTCATTAAGGATTCTTTTACTAATTTTTTTTTTTTTAAGAGAAAAAAAGAAATGTGTTTATGGCTCTGTCATTCTGAATTGCTCTGTCATTTTGATTTTGAAATCTCAGGTGAAAAAGAGGAGTTGTCCCAGCAGATGAATGCCGTGTACCGCATCATCCCACAGGTGGGCTTCCACACCGGGGTACAGGCCCTCATGCTGCTCTACCAGGTCACGGACAGCAGGTGAGGGGGTGGCTGGGGGCTGTTGTGGGTTTTGAGGGGTTGCTGTGTGTTACTTGTAGATGTCTCTTCACTTAAACAGGGGCTTCAATGACCTAGTGGTTAGGCTGTCAGACTCTCAGACAGTAAAGGCATGGGTTCGAATCCCGCTGGGAGCCCGACATTGTGTCCTTGGGAAAGGCGCTTTACCCTAATTTTCTCACTTCACCCAGGTGGAAAGAGGTACCCAGCTATAGACAGTGTTCTTGTCAGTTTGTTAGTGTTTGAGCGCTTAATCAGCTGCTTGCTCTTTATGCTTCCCAGAAAGCTGAGAATGTATCTGAGTGTTCTATGAGCTGCTGGGGTAATATAATATGGTATTAAGCTCATAGAGCTTGCTATTGAGCTGGGATATGCGCTACACAAATGCTATTTATTATTATTAGTAATATCTACATGATAGATACTTCTGTTCTTATCATCCTTCTCTCTCGAACTATCATCCCACCTTTAGCTTAGTAACACATTGAATAACAGTGCAGGTCCATTTGAATTAGAGAATTTTTGAATTTCACGGATTCTCAGACTCTACCTTAGTTTTTGAAGGTGGGCATCAATTCTGAGATATGGTCTTTTGAAATTTTCTTTTATTATACTGCAAAATGGGTAAGGACTTTTCTTTACCATCTGGCCTTATGTCTGTCCCCAGCACCAGTGTGTCCGACAGGTACTACATGAGCCTGTACCGTAAACTCGGAGACCCAGCCCTGAAAAACTCCTCCAAGCAAGCCATCTTCATGAACCTGCTGTTCAAAAGTCTGAAGAGGGACCTGGTGGACAGGAGGATTAAGGTACACTACAATTAGCTTTTTGTCCACTGTGTAACTAGTGGTTCTCTGTTTTTGTGTTCTTCTTATAATAATAATCTCAGAACGTAATGGTTGTTCAAAGTATTTCTGGTTTTACATTTAACAGTTCTTTTTTTTTTTTCTTCTTGACATACTGAGGATGAATGAAAAAGAAAGGAACTAGCATTAACGAAAAATCTAGATTACTTGAAACAACATAGGATAGTCAATGGTTTTGTTTTTTTTGCTAGTGCTTCCTTCATTATTTTTAAACCGCATCTGATTTCTGCTTGCAAGTAAGTTGCATTGATTATTTAGGTTAGCCTTTTCTTGTCATAGTTCCACGTTTTTTTCCCTATTGCTATTAAGACCTATCAAAATAAAGTAATATTAAAAAGCCTGGGTTCATCGTGACAAGAGCGATCGAATCAACCCTGGTCCTGATTGATCTTGTTTGTGTTCATTGATGTGTGTAACGTTTTTAACATAAATTATTGCAAATCTTCTTCCCCCCCCCCCCCCCCCCCAACCCTCTCAGGCTTTCATCAAGAGAATCCTCCAGGTGTACTCACAGCAGCCCCCACAGGTCATCTGCGGTGTCCTCATCCTTCTCTCACAGGTGAGCACACGACTCTTCGCACCTTTTTTGGGGGGGTCATTTTTCGAGACAGGAAATTTTTTTGAGTTTGTTGAGATTGTTATTGTTTAACCCTAACTCTGGCAAGGGCCGATTAGATCGGCCCATTTCCATTTCCTGCCATGAAACTGGCAGGGCCGATCTCATAGGACCATATAGTAAACTGCTGCTTCTGCCTTCCAACTAAATATTTGGGGCTTCTTAAAGTGATTTCTGATTGGCTAAAAGGTTAACCTCCAACCAATCAGAATATTTCTACCATTCTGGCTTAAGAGAAGAGTATTTTGCTTTCAAAACAGAGAGATGTTTTGAAAGCTTGTTGATCAGGCCACAAGCCACTAATGCCAGTGTAGATCTATCACTTGTGCTACTCATGTGGGTCTAAAATGGCCAAAAATCGATCTTTTTTGGATACATTTGAAAGTGAATTGACTAGGGAAAGTAATTCAGACACGGTTAGTGGTGGATTTATTGGTGTTCAGTCAAGAATTGGGATTAGATCTGACAGACAATGGGGATACCAGGGGATACCAGTTCTCATCCTGCCCCAACTTCTCTTCAAATGGAACACTAGATTCTACTACCTTTGGGAGTCTAATAGGGGTAGAAAAAGGAGAGCCATAGAGTAAAGTAGGTTCCTTTTGCTATACTAATTATTACAGTCTACCAGCAGATTGCTGAAAACCACATGGTTGTACTTACAGTGTTTTTATGTTGAGTATGGTATGAAAGTAGCAAGTATCAGCTGCACTCGAAACAGACCACATGACAAATTGAAACAGTCATAACTTATTACCTGTTCTTCTCAACCTATAAAACTATACATTTTCTGAAAGGTAATAGAAAAACCCATGTTTCTGCTATCTCACATTTTTTATAACATGAAATACATTAGATTGGTGAATATGCTAATGAGCATATAATTTTTTTTCCCAGCCATCTTGGATTTTAAAGTTACATAACCCCTTGTAAATTAAATCAAATCATATGTTCAAAGGCAAAATATGAAAGTTCATTCAATTATCTTTCAGAAAATATATACTTTTGTAGGGTTTTTATTTGATGCAAGTCCATAAATTTGATTTGTAAAGCATGTGCACATTTTGGCTGATTAGCCCTGCCATTCTTGTTGAAACCACTTGCCAGAGTTAGGATTAATAACTCCAAAGCTTCAATCATTTTATCTCTGTCTGGCTATCAGCAAAGTGCTGCTTTCTGTGGTGGGTGGGTTTTTTATGGGGGGGGGGGGTTGTTGTTGTGGTTTTTTTCCCCGGGGATGGGGGGGGGGGGGGGGAAGCAAGCAAGCAGATCTTGCTTTTTTACAGTGGCCCATTCACTGCTGCTTAAATAAGAGGGATAAAATACGATGCTCTGATGGTGCCAATTCTTTTTATAATGCATAAAGTAAGCCTACTGGGCTTTCAAGAAATGTATTACCTCTTGACAACAACACCAGCCTATAAGTACTGTTATACCAAGCTCCTTGTAAATGTATTATTAATGAACTAATGTTCCATGTTGTTCTACTGCTTTATCTTTCTGTGTGAAGTTGCCATGCACTCCTCTTACTGTTTACTTAACCATCACACACTATATTTCATTTCTTTTCTCTATTGAATGTTTTATTTCTCATCAACTATGTGTTAATCGTTATGGTCTTGCTTGCTCTTGTTAATAGATGAGCTTTAAATTTTGTTTTTTCTTTGTCCTCAGATCTTGAAAGAAAAACCTGGTCTCATAGATTTCAAGCACATAGCAAAGGTAAAGTGAAAACTGTCACTTGTTTTTCTGTTCCACCAGGGTCCTAATATTTCGTGATTTTTCATGTTGAAAAGAAGGATGTTAGTTTATTCTTAATTGTGTATGTTTAAGGTAGATCTAGGTTAATTGATTGTAACAATTTACCCCACATCAAGTGAGGTGATCACAGTGCATCAAAGAAAATGCCAGACACATTTTGAATATGAGGAATAAGTGTTCAAAAGTGTGGCATTTTATTTTCCTAAAGGATGTAATTTGCATGTATGTCCTACTATTCATATGATCAAATTAAAGCAATCTTTGTCTGGGCGTTGTTTTAATATTGATTTTTGTTCTGATCTTCTAAAACCTGTCATCATGTAACATGACCAATTTCAAGAGTGGAGTACGAAATAATTCAGAAGCTAACATTTCCATTCTTTTTTTGAGTATTAAAAACAAAATTTCATGTCCCGAGTGTTTGAAATTATAAAAACTTTGAATACCTCATTACACCTCAAAGTAGAAATATGTTGAAAAGCTCAGACAATTTAAAACCAGCCCAACTGAAGTTGTGTTAGTGAGATGACCCTGTGACCTCTTCGGGATAGGTCTCGAGGGGAGGGGGGGGGAACTGCATCAGCTAAAATTCCTCTGCTAGTGCAACATGACATGCCCCACTCTCCTGCTTGAACTACTGATACCACATGTCTCAATGCTGAAGGTTTACTCCTAGAAATCGATTTCATAGGTTAAAGAAAGAGGTCTCTTATCTCTCTTTTTTTAAAATCAGTAATTCTTCAATTCTTCCTTCAGGGTGTTTGGGAGGATGAGGATGATGAGGAGGAAAAGTTTGTAGATCTTCCAGCCCCGGATGAGGAGGAAGCAGTTGTGAATGGAACAGGGGAGACGAACAAGGAGAATGGAGAGGAAGAGGAAAGCAAGGGAGAAGCAGATGATGGACAGACACAGCAGAAAGACAAAGAGAAACAGCAGGGGCCAAGCTCTTGGATTCATCGAGTCAATTATGGTGGTAAAGGTGAGTTGATGATTGTTTCTCTTCCGCGCTCGCACTGAAAGAAAGGAATTGTTTGACAAGGACGATCTTTCAAACCATTGCAGCATATGAAAGATATCCTTCATGTTATGACTAGAGGATCAAACTGTCCTGTTCGTAGATAAAATTACTTTAAGACTAAGATATCTCTATGATAGTTCTATGAATCACAGATTGGTATGGGTGGTTTGCGGGTGCTCTGGTGTGGTTTGCTTCTTCTTTCCTATCAAACATCTATCGTCCTTCTTCTTTTTTATGTTTGTTAGTCTCTTGTAACACCTCTAATCTTCTGGCGCTCATATGACCTTATGCAGTTGCGAGCGCCTTAAAACCTCTACTAAAACTTAAAAAACAGATTGGTGCAGTTACTATAAAAACCATTTAGCTTTAAAAAAAAAATATTTTTAAAATATTTTTTTTCTTCTTCTTTGGGGGGGGGGGGGGGGGGGGGGGGGGGTTTGACTCTGTACCTGTTGGATATTTGGTCATTTTTACTTATTTGAGTGTGGAAGTAAAATACCTACTTTCATGCGATATGTGACGATTGTCCTTTGTTTCTTCAGGTCGCTCAGCCGACTATGACCCCCTGAACAGGAACCCGCTGTACTGCCGGGCGGAGACCGAGTGTGTGTGGGAGCTGCAGCAGCTGAACCGTCACTACCATCCCTCGGTCCGCCTGTATTCCGACATGATGCTCAGGGTATGTTTCCTCTCTGAGCCAGTCTGTTTGTTTTTCTGTTGTTCTATCTGTGAGTAGGTGGTTGGTGCACTCTCTGGTGTGGTTTGTTCCTTCGTTGCTCCTATCAAACATCTATTGTCCTTATCTCTCCTCCTTCATTTTTGTGTTTGTTACTCTCATGTAACACCTCTAATTTTCGTCACTTATTGTGTTACAAGTTCCGTAAAACGCTTACTAAAACATAAAACGTTCTATCTGTGTGCCTATCTACCAGTGTGATGTGCAAAGTATATACAGTCTGTCAGATTGCCACTGTTTGCCTTCATGCTTGAATTTTTCACAAAATTTTATTTAATCTCCTGCTCAGTTCAGTTTTTAAAAGATACAGCAGGAGAATTTTTGTTTCCTTTTAGTTACTCTTCATATGCTACCGGAAGTTGCCAATGGTCAAAATCAGACTACCTGTTCATCATGTGTGGTAAGAATTTGTGCATATAGACGCCCATTCTGCTGTTTGCCTTTCTGTCTGTCTGTCTAATAGTACAAAATAATGTTGACACTCCTGTATTAATGATCAAGGACATATAAAAAATATATTGGTAAATCTGTACCTCTAATGTATGCATTGTTGGTGTTTCAGGGGGAGACCATTAAGTATGATGGCGATCCACTGAAGGACTTCACTCTCATCCGATTTCTGGATAGATTTGTTTATAAAAACCCAAAGAAGAACTTGGGTGAGTATTTGTTTTATGGGGGGATTTTTTGTTATTGGTTTTTCTTTGATTATTTTATATGTATGATTAATTAATTGTTGTTTTTTTAGGGGGTGGGATTAAAGTTTGTCTAGAGATATGGTTGAGTAGAGTATGATGTTTGACCTTTAGAATAGTTTCCATTTATTTGTGTTATTTTCAAATGAAAAGTTTGATCTCTCAAATGTTTTGAGTTTTGGGCTGTGGTACAAAGGAATCTTTTTTTCTCATACGAAGGGAGCTATTTATGCTTCTTGTGTAGACTTTTGAGAAGCTGCATCTAGATTAGTTGTAGGTGATTGGTGGGTGCTCCGGTGTGGTTTGCTCCTTCCTTCCTATCAAACAACTATCATATCGTTATCTCTCCTCTTTCTTTTTATGTTTGTTACTTCCTTGTAACACCTAATCTTCGGCACTTGTATGACCTAATTGTGTTGCAAGTGCTGTAAAACGCTTACTAAAACCATCTAGATTAGTTTCTCTGCTGTATGTGATGTAAGAACTTTTTTAGATGTTGAAGTTATTCTGCATCCAGAACAATAAAGATGAAATGACTACCATGCATGACAGATGAGGTTTTGAGTGATAAACTGTATGATGAGGAAAGAATGTATTATGTAGTTTGAGTTTTTGTGTCAGAAATTGGCTCTTGATTTCAAAATTTGCTGATTGTCTCTTTTACCTGTTGTCATCTAATCCACATCTGAGATGAAAGGCTGTTATTTTGGTTTATCTTTTTATTTGATCATCAGCAATGAGGACAAAGTTTCTGTTGAAAAATAATCGCTAAAGAAAAAAAATACTCAAAATGATTTGAAGAAAATGATTTGAAGAAAATGAATCGAGTTTGAACTGAATTTGAATGAAGTGTGGATTATTTGTCTTCAGAACAAACAAGCAATGCTTTTAAACAGTTCAAGAAGGTCCGACCGTCAGGAGTGAGGGCTGTGCCGGTCAACTCTGAAGACTTCCTCAAAATGGAGGAGAAAGATGTGGCAGAGGAGGATAAATTCTTCCACAGGTGAGTCAGTCAGTCCACAGATTTGAGGACAAGGACTGAGAGTGCAATGGCATTAATTGCTCAACTAGAAATGGCTACACCAGAATTACAAAGTTCTTTCTAGTTATCAGTACCTAGTTTTGAGAAATTTGATGTTACAAATTTTAAGTTTCACAACATTTCAAGCTTTACCGAATGAAATTCTTTGAGTATCTTGACAACGACTCCTAATAATCTACGATTTTGATGGAGCAGATAGAACATTTGGTTTCTGACTCCATGGTCGTAGTAACTCAAAACGGCCAAAAGTGTTAGGCAGAACTTTGTCATTGTAAGGTAGTGAAATGACACGTAGAAATTAGCTTTATACAGTATTGATTTTCCCAATTCAAGGACTCTGTGCAGTTTATTTCTTCCGTGAAACTATTCAACCCTTTCTTCTTTCCTTGGTGATATTCATCTTCAATAGAAAAGTTATTGCATAGTTTTTTCAGCTTTTGCCTTCCAATTGAATTTATTTGAACATTCTTCTGCTATTGTTGTATGCTTTTCATGGACATTGTGGTACGACACTGTCTACAAATACCATTTTAAAAATGTTATGTATAAATTTATTTTTTTTTACATCGTTGTTTTACTATCATGCTTTTTTTTTTATTCATCACATATGTCACAAATATATGTTAGATTCAGCTATCAGTTTTATAAAAAAAATCCTCTTTGCTGTTTCCAGGTACTTCATCGAACGGGCCAGAAGGAAAAAGGATGCCGGTGATGATGGCAGTGATGCTGGCAGTGTCTCTGATACTGAGTTTGACGCTTTTCTCAGTGAGTTGTCTCTGTTTGAGTGGGAAGTTATTTTTTCCACTTGGATTGTTTAACAGGAAAGGATGTTCAGAAAAATCACAATGGGTCCTTTTAAAATTTGTGCGAGACATTACTCCATTATTAGTTTCTTTCTGTTTTTGAGAGAAGTTCGTTAGAAGACCCTGAGAGACTGAAAATAATTTTCTTATTCAGTTGCAGAATTATTTACCGCATATGCGTGTTGTATACTTTCAGATGAATAAAATACTTTTAAAGTTTACTTATAACTTTTTTATTCTTTTTTTGTTGAATAAATCCTTTCTGCAATTCTCACCTTTTCATGTTTTTTTCATTTCTGATATGGAAGGTCTTATCATCTATTACTAGGTGGCTTTGAGAGAGAGGCAGATATTGGGGACTTTGGTGATCTGGATCTAGACTTTGCCAGGTGAGATGATGAACTGATATTATTAACACTTACAGTACCGTCGACGGGCCTGTAATTTCTGCTCACTACCGCTGGCGACTTTAGTTGCCGACATGACCAGGCACATTAAACAATGAGCGGAACTTCTTCGCAGAAGTAAATATCAAGGGAAATCACTCTATGTGATAGCTGAATCGTTGATGTAACGCTGTGACTTTTTTTAGCGCGTTTCTTGGGCTGTGATGGTTTTTTTGTTTTTTTACATTTTTTGTTCTACCATGACTTCGTCAATCCCAGATCGCTATGCCTCTGATTCAGGCGAAGAGCTTAGTGATTGTAGTGATGACGGTTGGTCTTATCTTGACAATTTGTCTGATGTAGAGCCTGACAGTGACATAGACAGATTCAGAAATGTTCTAGTTCCAGCTCGTCGTGTTTCTTCGTGTGTTAGATCTAGTGGTGATGCAGGACCCTCAACAGGTAATATTGGCAGGTCCAGGCATAGGGGTGATAGAAATTCAGGTGGGCGTGTCTACCCTCTCCAAATAGAATGGGAGTTTTGTCATGATGTCTAGATCTATATGTCACAAAAAAGGTTTTTCTATTAAGTACATTATTTCTGAATATATCTTGAAAATTCATATAAATCTGTCAATGACTTTTGTTTCAATGAATTTTTTTGTAAAGTACCCTTATTATTTTGTTGGCTTCTAGATCGGTGCGGTACTCCAGGGTCTTTCACTATATGACCCTGCGGTATTGAAAGTGACGAGTCACTATTCCAGAGACAATCTTTTGTTGGTGAAGGTTTGTTAAGAACAAAGATCCATGCTCCCGCTATGAATTGTTCTCCCCTTGTATAATTTGTTTTTAATGCCCTGCAGGAAGAAGCAAAGCAAATGGGCTAGAATGCAGAGAACTGAGGTTAAAAGGCCCAAACTTGCCAGCTTAGAATATTGTCCCAGTCAAAGTCAGGTTTTGTTAGACTCGGTACAATGATGACCACTTATCACCACTATGCCTGTGCTACTTTGAATATCATAGAAATAAATAAGAGTGGAAATTCAAGTTTTTCCCTGTCTTTAAGGTTAAGTCAAGCAGCAGCTTCTGGTACGTTGTCTTCACCATTTGAAAACTACCAATACATATTTTATGTTTGCACAGTGCCTGCTGTATCATATCTTTGAGTCCCTTTGAGGACTTGTATACCAGAGAGATATATCGTGGACTTCGTTATTTTTGTCACATTCATTGTTATTCAAGCAAGCACCTCATTTAAGACAAATTGTATAATTTCTTGTACCTGTTCTAATTCAGTCATTTCCTTTCTTTTGCAGCGACAAAAAAATGTCGAAATCTAAAAAAGGCAAAGAAGAAGTGGAAGAAGAATCAGAAGACAGTGATGAGTATGATGAAGATGATGACGATGAAGAAATGGATGTTGGTGATGATGAGCTGGCAGCAGAGTTTGAGAAGGAGATGGCTGGTTTAGCTGCTGGCAATGATGGTGATGATGATGATGACGTGGATTCTGATGACGATGTTGGATTTGACGGGTTTGGAGCAGATGAGGATGGCATCGGAGCTGGGGATGATGATGAGGAATTTTCTCCCGACGAAGATGGCAAGTAGTAGAACATCACATTGCCTTAGAATAAAAACGTTTTTATCTGCTCTGTATGCCCTACCTAGTTTTGAGAAATTTGATGTCAAAGATTTTGAGTTTCACATCATGTCAAGCATTTTCGAATGCAATTCTTTGAATATCTTGATAATGACTCCGAACAACCTTACGATATTGATACAGCAAATAAAACATTTGGTTTCTGACTTCATGGTCATAGTAACTCAAGACAACCCAAAATGTCAGATAAAGCTTTGTAATACTGAGGTAGCCAGCAGTCACGCTCTCTACTTTCTCTTTCTTTTCTTTCACCTTGCTGTCTTTGTGCCCACTTGCTGTCTATCCCCTTTATCCTTTTTTTCTCCTGAGCTGTATGTTTTTCTTTTTCTTCTACTTTCATATGTCTCTCTCGTACCCTTTTCGCATGGGTGCCTGGGGATTGTTCTGATGTGGTTTGCTCCTTTCCTATCAAACATCTTTCATCCTTACCTCTCCAGCTTTTTTTGTTTCTTTGTCTCTTGTAACACCTGTAATCTTCGGCACTTGAATAACCTAATCGTATTGCAATTGCTGTAAAACTCTTTACTAAAATTAAAAACCATACCCTTTTTGCGTTTCTACTCTTTTGTTTACCTCCTCCACTGTAATATGCCTCTCTTTGTCAGGTATGCTTCTTTACCTCTAAAGATAAATCAACATTGTATGCGGCGTTACTTGGCGTTATTATTACTCAATGTATATCCAAAAAGGTATCATAAGTTAAGCTAGGACGTTTCCTTTTAAGTTTGTTGGCTCTTTCTCCCAGCTCAAGTGTGAGTCCTATCTTTAGTTTCTTCACTTTGTTGTGTTGAATGGGATGTAACTCAACTCAGTGTTTGGATTTGTTTTGTTTTTTCAGATGAACTGAAAATGATGATGATGAAGCCAAGTGGAGGCAAACGCAAGCGAGTTCTTGATTTAGAACCTATGGGCAGTACAAAGAAAAAGAAGAAAGGGTAAGTGTGCCTTGAATGTGAAACCGAGACAAGTGTATGTCCATTGAAAGTTTCTCATTATATTTCATGCTTTTTGTTCTGACAAAGAAAATAAGGGACTGTTCCCCCTTATAACAGTGATAGAAGGAATTTTTAAAGGGGAAAGTATTAATTTTATGTGAAGGATGATATTTCTGTCAGTCTATTTATTCCTGTGATGAAATCCTTGCTTTGTGGTGTGTATTTCTATATTTTTAGGTGCTTGTAACGAGTTTGAAAATCACTCAGGCCCTTTAGATATGTTGTTAGATGTTCCAAACAAGGCTTAAGATGTTCCAACCAAGGCTTAAGATGTTCCAACCAAGGCTTAAGATGTTCCAACCAAGGCTTAATCCTTGTATTTTCTGTCTGTTAGTTTGACAGCCCAGCCTTTCCTGTGTGTGGAGAAATTTCTAAAGTACGAACATTTCTGATACTGCAGTTTTGTAGTGTTCAGTTTAATAAGATGAATCAGATTCTTTATAGAACAATTGATAAACTGATACTTTTTTCACTATTGGTCCTTTAATTTTTTAGCTTACAATAACAAATACAATGTATGCGTTAAATACTGAGTTCACCAGCCATTCAGCTGCTGGCCCACCACCCCACCCCACACAGAGAATGTGAAGTCAAAAATGTTAATTTGGAGATGATTCTGTGACATTAACTAGTGACAGCCTTACACAAAAATGGCAAAAAAAAAGTAGAATTTGATAGGAAGTTGCAGATCCAATCACTCAAAAATGCATTCTGCTTTGTAAATGCTCATAAGTACTCACACCGAAGAAAAGTTGATAGCATGTGATTTATGTGTATAGTTACCACCACTTCCTCATTCAGTTTTCTGACTTTTTTGTGTATTCGTTTCATTTCAGCAAAGGCATGGAGTCCCTGTTTGCTTCTGCGGAGGAGTTTGCCCACCTCCTGGAGGAAGACGCAGAGCTTGGGAACGTGTCTCTGGGCGGAGCTGATGATGTCCGGAACAAGGACAAGTCAGGTATGTCCTCTCTCAATGTAACAGTATAATAAATAATAATAAATAGAATTTGTGTAGCACATTCCCCTGCTCAACAGCAAGCTCTATGCGCTTTACCCTATATTTTACTATATTACGCAGTATGTCTTCTGTCTGGATATAACATCATGGTAGTGTTTTATTTCTAATACAAAAAGTATTTTTGGAGTAGTATGTTGCAGAAGCAGCTAAATGTCCTTATTGTGTCTTTTTTGGTGGCAATCTGCTCCTGTTTGCTGTGGTGTATAAAAGAAATTTTTCACCCTTTTTATGAGCTGTTTAGAATACTGGTGTTGTTCAAGCAACTGTACTTTATAAGCAGACTGTAGAAGTAGTTATGTTTAATGCTCCTATCAACACCTTAAGATTATTTAAGAGGTGGGACCTCTGAGTTTGTCTTTCATCTGCGATAGGACTTAGCCATGTGGATGGAGAGCCTTAAAAACTCCCCCAAACTACTGAAGTTCAATAACGCCCCTTGGAGTATTCGGACCAGGGCCTGCACCAAAGTCCAGCATAATTTCGACTAAGCTAATGGTGCCACTGCATACTATATGTGTCAACACACAGTGGAATCAGGCGCTCGTCAGTGTTTTGGCATATAGAGTTATTGGTTTCATCTTAAAGGTTATTAATTTGCCTTGCTTTGGATAGAAATTTTTTAAATCTTTAACAGAAGTCGAGATATTTGCGATTGAAGGAGGTAGGGGTCGCCTCGTTTCTGAAGGAGAATTAGCAAGAAAATAGCCACCAAAGTTTGGTGACTTCCATAGCTTAAGAGTCCTTGGAAACTGCAAATTTACATTTTTTGTACCTTTAATCTACATTTTTCCACAAAATTCCACACATAAAAGTGTTTTTGCATGGACATACAAGGTGTTGAGCCAGAAAACAAATTTTTTTTAAAAATGTCCATACTGGCCGAAAAATGCCAATTTCTCGGATTTCATTGTTTTGACAAGCGCCTGATTTCGCCATGATGCTTCACACATAGCGTTATACGGAACACAATTCTTATTCTGGGTTAGAGCATTCTTGTTACTGTTTTAGGCCCGGCCAATCTATAGTAATAATTATTTCCAACTTCTGTTTTCTTTCTCCAGGTGTCAAGCAGCTCAAGTGGGAGGCGCGCCAAGAGCGGGGACCACAGGGCAAGAAACGACACGCTGGTGGGGGTTTTGGTGGGAAAAAGGGCAGCAGGAAGCCAGGTTTCCGACACGGTGGTGCCGGTGCTGCCAGGGGAGGAGGGAAGCCTCGTCAAAAGCCCGGCAAGGGCAGAAAAGCAAGATAATATATCATGTATTGATTTTGTTTCTTGTCTTGGTGGTTTAACTTTTGATGGTGGAAAAATGCAGCATGGCACATGTTGGAATGTTGTTGTAGCATTAAAGATTATGGCTTTATTGCAGCGTCTGTATTGTTGGTGTTGTTAATTGGATGGAAGATTTTGAAAGTGCAGGTGAGAATGGCGACATTGCACATAAATATATCACTTTTTGTTTGTGTGCATGGTACTGGAATATGGCCACTAGATCACCGACTCAATTTCTTGTGTTGTTGAGGGTGGCTTCAGAGACTCAAACAAGACTGATCCCTCCGGAGCAGTGCCACTGACTAGTGTCTTTAGGCCATTCCCAAAGGGGGGACATTTCTCGTTCAAGCACAGTAGAATTGTAAATGGGCTGATTCATCATTTCACGCTCATAACTGTGCCTGGTCTACAACAGGGAACTGCTGCTTTTTTTTCCCTAATCCTTACTATTGTCATTTTTTCTCTACTTCTTTTGTATGTTTGTCACTCTCTTGTGACCTGCTATTTTTGGGGTGCCTTGATAGTCGAAGCAGATCTTGTGCTGTTGAAGCAAGAGAGGTGAGCAGAATAAGTCTGATTCCCTATAAAGACTTCTCTGTTGACACCCACCCCTTGGCGCTCATATGACCGTATGCAGTTGCGAGCGCCGTAAAACCCTTCTAGTCTATATAATATATATAAACAAGACTGAGTAGGTACCTCTTGAAAGGGTGGGGTGGGGGGGGGGATGAATTGTGTGGAAACAAAGAAAAGTGTGAACAGAAAAGGATAAGCTGACAAACTAAAAAATATATACATTTTTTAGACAGATTGACGGTATTTGATATCTGGACAGAGACAATGCAGATAAGGAGCTGGTTATACAATTGTTTATCTTTTCAAATGTTATTGTGATAGAGTGTAATACACAAACATGCAGATAAGCCTTTGAGACAAAGAAACCATTACTAAAGAATTTTATTAAACAAGTCAGAAGGGGTCTTAAATTACTGGGTAGAATCTTTGTCTTCATGCTGGATTTTGTTTGGATATCGTGTGTTACACTTTGGTTCAAAGTCTTTTAAAATTTGAAAAAAAAAAATAATAATAATACGTACATCTAATACTAATACTGATACAATTATTTAAGAAATCTGTTGTTTTTTTTCTTCCCTGGAATATTTTGCTTTCTGGGCTGAGAACAGTTTTAACAGTGACAGCTTGCTGCCCATCGCTGTGCCCCATCTGGTCTTTGGCCTTTTCAAGGACCACAGTAATTTCTCTTGAGATCCCCGCAAATCCACTAGCCTAGAAGATTGACTCAGAGCTTTACAGTAAATTACAGTTCTCAAAACTGTTGGACAATTTGCTGAAATTGCTTTGGGGGCACTCTTATGATGAATCTGTTGTTCTGAAGGGGGTGGGGGGTTCCATATGAATAAGATTTGAAACACAAAAGTACTTCATACGATTTCAGTTGGGGTACGGTTGCTATCTGTGCCCCCCAAAACAGATATATACATGTATTTCTTTTCAAAATTTCGATCTGTCCATCTGTCTCTCAGTCTGTCTGCCTGCCCGCCTGTCTGTCTGTCTGTCTCCCCCACACGCACACACAGACAGACAAAAAGGCGTACAAAAATAACTTATTCAGTAATTGTAACGCTCTCAACCCTAGCGCGCACGACGCCCTCACAATCCGGAGTCAGCTTTTTCTCTTGATAAAAAAGGAAAAAGATCAACCTTAAACAGAACCCAGTGTCCCAGACAGTAGTTATCCCTTATTATTAGCCAAGAAAATCCTTGACTGCGAGACAATGTTCTTTTTGTTCCCGCCATTGACATCTTGACAACTGAGTCACACCCCCCCCCCCCAACCCCGTCTTGTACAGTGAGTTATTCCCCTTTCAGCCCGCCTCAACCTCTTGGCCCTCCTTGTGTCCGTGGGAAGGGGGATAATTTAACTCGACGAACAATTTCTACGTCCAGAAGGGGGAGATTAAGTGATTATGACTAACCTGAGTCTTGGCCTTGGATTCGGTTTAGGTCAGACGCCAGAATGCCCTGTACAATTTAAATTTTATGTCCCTAAAGTAAAAGTGTATACTATGACTACGAGTATATTATAGCTTGCTTCTTTTAAAAGGTTTCCGTGGAGCATTTTAATAATAACATTTTATTTCTTCGCGCTGCACGCGAAAGATGCGAGTTCGATCTCCGTGTATTTTTGTATACCTCCGAACCCCCTTACAAAACGTCATGGTAAAAAGAATGAAGTACCGTACAACATAATCGATGTATTAACGTCAATTGACATTTTTAATTAACAAATGTTGCTTTCATTGAAAACCTGATGTTCAGATACGGAATGAAACTCTGATTAACCCTTTCACTTCCAGGCCGTGGCCACAGTCGTACCAAAGAGCCTGATATGCCTCGAGCCTGGCGGTGAAGGGGTTAAAGTAGTGTTCAGATAACCTTTCACGAATGACGGTTTTCATTGTCTTCAGCGACAGACTTGATTTTTAACTCTTCAAACCGACGAAACAAACACATCTCTCCGACCAGCGACAGACCAAAGTTAATATTTCTGCACATTTCGAACCACATATATCAGAAACGCCAATTTTCTTATTTCATGTAAAGCATACTGTCATTGTTGCCGATATTTTAAGGTTTCGGAATTTTTTTTAAAAACGGAAGCGAAAAAGTCTGCATGAATAACAAAGTTATGCAACTTTTTGGAAAGTGTCCTGCTTGCGTTGTAGAAGATGCGTCCTCAAAGAATTGATGTAAATGTCGCATGTCCCTACTGACGTAATTTAGATCACAGGGGAGACAGGTTTCGACCTTGCCTTTCTGGGCCAACCCGGACTGAGACTGAGAGAGATTTAGCGTCCCAGCAGAAAGACCCGCGACTTCCGAGATTTGTTGCCCTCGAGAAGGCGTGGTGTTTGGTCTTACCTACCCTCAGAACAGGGATGCGGCTGAAAGACACTGTGATCTTATCAAAAGTGTCAAAGTCAAACCCAATGGCTGCAGAGGCCAAACACAAATTACACGACGGGATGCCCACTACGGATGGGATCGGCCGATCGCCTCAAAAACAAACGTGTTTTGTTTTTTTTCAATTTCAGGCGATCGGCCCGATCCAGCCGTAGTGGGCACCCCGTATTTATGGTTGCGGGCCGAACTGGATATAAACCCAATGAGAAGTTAAACAAAATCTGTTGTTTTTTTGTTTGTTTTGTTGTTATTGGGTTGTTGTTGTTGTGTTGTTGTTTTTTTGTTGTTGGTTGTTTGTTTGTTTTGTTTTTTTTGGGGGGGGGGGTGATTGTTGTTGTAAACAATGATATGAATTAAGACAAAACTTTTTAAAATGATAACAAATCGAGGCATACAAATTGAAATACTCGCCTTTTTATTTCAATTTGTCAAAGCTGAATATAATCATATTTGGCATCTTTTTCTTGGCAATAAGCTAGTTTATGGTGTGGATATATAAGGGTTATGCATAACTCTATGGGTTTATGGTACATGCACTATGTTTTAAAGATTCCCAAGGTGGACTGCCGCACCTAAGATTCTCTCGAGGTCCGGATGTAGTCGTTCGCCCCGCCGGATGTGGCCGGCAGACTGTGGGTTTGGCGCTTGTACTTTAGGGGCATCTGTTCCGAGTTCTCCTGGAGGGGATCCAGATAGAACGCTGAAAAGATTTTATACGATTTCAGTTGGCTGACAGTTGCTATCTGTGCCCAAAGTGGCATTTTTCTTTCAACCTGAATTTGACCCTCGATACCCGTCAAGACCCCACAAGGCAAGGCGCACACAGGGCAACTTTAGTTGCGCAACTGTTTTCTCGCCCAAATGTAAACAATGAAATAAATAAGCACCGCGCGCACAGGCAACTCTGTTTTTTTTGGAGACTGAAAAGTTTGTGTTTTGTCACAACTTTCCGGCAACGCAACTGTTGCTCAAATCTCCTGTGTTACATACCACAAGCACACAGCGCGCACAGGAAACCAAACTGTCTTTCCTCTGCTGAAATGCTTATCCTGTTGATGTTTCGATACATGTACGTAATTGAGGGTCCCACGAGACGTTGAAGTTCATTAAAACTGTCCGAGCTCATATGTTAATAGTTTTTAAAAACTAAGGAGAGTATGCTCTCAAATTTTCATGCAGTTTGACAAAATGCCCTTTTAAAAATCTCTGACTGGTCAAAGGGTGAATTCAAACAAAACCACTTTTTCCTTTCCTTCTTTCCAAGTCCAAGTGCACTCACACGAGCACAGACAGCAACTGCGTCGTGACAGTCCATGGCGTCAAAGGAAGAAGTCAGTAATGATGATAGCCTACTGTTGCCTGGCTGTTGCTTAGCTCTGTGGGCGGGGTGTATAACATAAGTTGCCGGGAGGCAGCAACTGTTGCGCAACTGAAATTGCCCTGAGCGCGCCTAGCCTAAATCAGGACAACAATGACCATGACAATCTTTATTCATCATCTCACGGGGAGAAATTTGTCTTGATCGTTTACAATGGCCGTGGAATGTTACAAAGGTTAGGTGTACTCACGTGTACACACAACAAGACAGGACGTTAGTAAATATAAGATTTCTGGAACATTAGAAAAATTCCAACTTGTCCTGCGAGTGCGAGTACACGTATACAAATGAGGCAATTTTCACCCATACGTCTCTCTTCACCGACAACTGAGTTGCGGCGTGTGGAAATGTGTGTGTGTGCGTGTGTATGTGCATGTTTGTGTGTGTGTGCATGTTTGTGTGAGTGTGCATATTTGTGTGCGTGTGCGTGCGTATGTGCATGTTTGTGTGTGTGTGTGCGTGCGTATGTGCATGTTTGTGTATGTGTGTACTTTGTGTGTGTATGTGTGTGCGTGGTGAAACACCAAACCAGTGTGCCAGGATCTGGACAATAAAGTTGTATCTTATCTTTCTTATCTTATCTTTTCCTTGTATGTGCTGGGCTTTATAGTATAGCTAGTGCATATTGCCGATC